TTGACTTAGGCAATTGAGCGGCTAGCCGTGAGTGGCGCTCTGAAGGAGCGCCGACGAACGACTAGTCGTCGATCTGAAAGGTTCACTTCAGATGAGCTTTGGGAATGATCTGGATAAGATTTAGAACGTTTCTCAAGCATATTCCAGGAAGATTTCTTTCATGAAGGATTACAGTGTAATGTTGATTTTCGAGATTAACTGTGAAATTCAAGAGATAAGGAATACTTCACAACAAAATCTTGTGTTTGGAATTTCCTCCTGAGAAATCTTCTATTATAAATACAAATTTGTCGCAACAGTGGACCTGAATTGGCTATATTGTAAAAAGTAGTAGATGATCTTTTGGCAGACAGAATCAAGCATGTGAGCGGCTAGTTCTTCTGCGGCATCGCTCACGACTAGCCGCTCATTTGAAAAGTTGGTCAAAAGGAAGTTTTTAGGCTAATGGAAGAAATAGAAAAAGTTTTTACCGAAACAGTCGTATCGGTTGAAAGAGTATCCAAGAAGAACGGAAAGCTGAAAAATGATTTTTTCCAATCAAGTCTGATAAATAAGTTTTGTGCAGACGTACAACATCTCGAAGGTGTTTTTGATGGAAAGCAAGAGCTAGCATATTTGTGTTAAACTAGGGTCCGCGTTGATAAAAGAACATATTTTCAGTGGTTAAACGTAAAGAGTGATCACTGAGAAAATCGGATTTACGATAACTTAGGTGCAGAGATAATATCTACTTGTTTGCACACATTATGAAGACAGAAACTATATAAAATAAGAGTTAATAACCGTTTGAAGTTTCTTTCCTTTCTTCAAATATAAATACTGAACTTTTCTCTATGCTTAATATCTGCGTCAAAGTTTCAATAGTATAGCAAGCAATACTGTAAGCTACGTAAACATTGATCTTTTATGAAGAAACCGATATATTCAGTGGTTTTCATTTACTAGTGAGATGTTTTGTGAGACTCCAATGAAACGAAGTATCTGAGTAGCTGACTCGTTACCAGTTATTTAGACTGCTTGATTATCATCTTCTCTGATAAATGTTGAACACCATCGACACTCTCTTGAATCATGATTAAAGACTCTTCGATTGATATTGATATAGTCTACATGGATTGAAAAAAACGTAGAATCCTCATCTTTCTTAAACAAAAATGAGCAAAAGAGAACATTTTTCAAAGAAGGTAAATCGGTGAAATACCAGTATCTACAGCTCTGTAGATTTTCCCATACGGACTTCTTTGACCCTATGTTTAGGAATGATTTGTTGAAAATGCAGGATTGTGGGCAGCCGCTCATGACGTTTCAGTTAAGAAGAAATTTTAGCAGAATAAAGATTTCGCAGGAAACTCTATTCAATTCTACTTTGAACGACAAAGTCACACTCAAGATAGAACTATGGGATCTGGAAATAGAGATGGTTCTAGATAAAAGTGAAAATTTCGGAAGAAAAACACAAAACGTCGGACTACATCCTGGGGAGATTGAAGCATGAGTGTAGCTCAACCATGATGACCAGATGCGAGCTTTTTGCTAAAGTACAATTTAAAAAGACTCAACAAAAAATAGAAATATTCGATGTTTTTACAAAATGGTCATGACTGACAATATTATAGACGGATTTTTGTATGTACGCGTGTTGAACAATAATTCTCAAAACAGAATTCATGAAGCGATAAGAGATGATTAGTGGATCGAATTCAGTCGAGGGTCAAGCGAGTCGAAGCGACGAGCGTTACTTGTTGATTTTAATATATTCAATCGATTTGCAAGGTGTTGGAGAATATTAGTAAGGTCTATACAGAACCAGATGATTGTAGTCAATATGAGGCATAGTGGGCGAAATATTTATTATCATTAGTACTATGGTAGATAAAAATGTCATGTAATGATTATTAGGACAAAAGTTCTCGATCAAACACGATACATATGATCATGAACAATATTATTGCTCTTTCCAAGACATAATTTAGACTAAAAAATCTGGCTAAAATTGCTGTTTATCAATAGCGCGTTCATCCGAAACATGAATTCTATATTTATTGATTCCAAAAGTAGTAATAAATTGAAACCGATTATCTTTGTAAATAGTAGGCACACAGAAGATTAGTAAACCTGTGGGGATACGAATTACAAAAACAAATATGCATGCAGTTGAATAAAATCGATTAATATATTTTTATTAATTTAAATCTGTTTCTTAATTTTTAATCGATTTGTGATTTAATTGCACCACCTAAATTTGAAACAACTTATGAAGTAGTTTCAAATTTACTAGATTTGCTGGAGCTCAGCTTAGCAGCAACTTCATAGTTTGTGAACATGAGCAATTCAGAAAACTTATGAAAAATTTGGGTACCACGTTCGGATCTCGAGAAATGTGCAAATCTTCGGTGTGTATGATTAAAATCGATAAAAAAGTGATAATCAGTTAAAATTGATTAAAAGGTAATAATAAATGAACAGGTAATAAATATTGTAGTAAATTAATAGGTACTAAGAGATTGAAATAGATTAACAGGTAACAATACTGTGGAAAATTCGAGCGATTAAAACTGATTCAAACTTCAGAATCCTTTGCGAATAATCGAAATTGACAATCGAATTTTTGTGAAACAAAATTTTAAATCGAATTATTGTACAACGAAAGCAAGATTATAATAGATTATAATCAAAAGTGAAAATCCGACTTTTGGGAAACAAAATAAAGATTTTAATCCATTAAAATCAAAATTATAATCAGTACCAATCGATTATTAGACACTTCTAATCAATTTATATCGATCATAATTGTGATTTTAATGGATTAAAATTTTGATTTTGTTGCACAAAAATCGGATTTTCAATTACGATTAGGTCCTTAAGACTTTGAAACAAGGAAGAAACGGCAGACTTTTGTACTTGAAGATACTTCGAGTTACTTGAAGTTACTTTTAGCTGCTTTCAGCTATTTTGAACTACTTCGGGCTACTTTGCAGTACTTGATGGAACTCCAAGCTACGTTTATACTAATATGATCGTTATTTCTGTGTTACCACTTTAATTTCGTGTACTTTTGATAAATACAAACGCAATATGGAAAAAGCCGACGATGTTAGGGATAGTACAATGTACAGTATTAGAAATTATTTTAAAACAACTTTTTTGAAGAAAAAAATGGATAGACAGGAAGAACATAGTAGCTCAAGTAGGCAGGTAGAAAAGTGTTGAAATGGAGAAGACATGCTCGCATACGGTTTTTATTTGTTTATGAATATTGCTCAACTTTGACAGATTACGACGCTTAGTACCGTATGTAGTTTTCAAGTGTAGGCCTTAGATGTCGATGCATTTTTTGCGTCCTTACTCTCACACCCAAAATTATGCTATTTAGCGCTTAGCATATCACTTTTAGCAACAGATATTTTCATACATATGTAGATAGAGTTTTTTGCCCTTATTCAATTAATAGCGGGTGCTACAGTGGTTAACACTTTCTGATCACGATCGATTAATTTTACACAAAAGTTACTATGTAAGCCTAATATTTTTGCGAATTTCCAAAAATTGGATTCTAAGAAACTGATGCTATTAAAATTGACTCATAGATCAGAATTCTAAAACTGCACAATATGATCGAGCTCGGTATGCATAATGGTTCATTATACCTAATAACATCATTGAAGCACAAATGGAAACAACAAAACTAACACTAAATGAAAAAAGCGAAACTCAACATTAGTATATTGGTGAATGATTTCTCGAGAATCCTTCGCTCTTGAAATCTTTGATCAGATGATGTCATCATGACACCTTGCAATAATAATAACAAACTAATCTCATGCTTAGAACTGTTTACTGATACTTAATTATATAACCTTGGGTGTGGGGTGTGTGTGGTGGGGATGGGATGGGGCTGGGGCTGGGTGTGAGTGTTGGACTGAGTACTGCCTTTAACCACACCCACACTCTTTGATCGTTAACAGTTGGAGCTAACATTGTTGTTTTATGTAATTTTTCGTACAAACGAACTAAATAAGTGTCTGTTCAGGTTTTTCAAATGTGACTACTTTTGAGATCAATGTGAAAAAACTGATTGGAATGATGTCAGCTTTGAGATTGTTGGATGATTCGGTATTTATATCATTCAAATCAATTGTTCATATTGACTCTAAAATAATTAATATGTGAAGAAACCGAATAGATATTAATGTAAATCATTTTTACGACAAATTACACAAGACAGCAATGTTGGCTTCAAACATTAACGCAAAATCTGCACAGACGTTTGGCTGCCAAATCTAGAAAGAATAAAGAATGGGGTGATGGTGCGAGTAAAACAAGAACTGCACCCAAACTCATACCGACGCACACTAGACACCGACACGCAAGGAGCAAACTTCGATACCTTGTGTCAAGTTTGTAAATATGGATGTATGTTCTTGCTTAAAAATGGCACTACTCTTTTACGTAAAATAATAAAATCTATAGATAACGATAATGCATTCTTATCACGTTTTTTTTACATTCTGCTCTCATAAAAACTAAATGGTAACTGTAATAACAGCTGATTACGTGAAATAAAACATCATTTTTTTTTGTAACTATTCATTCTTTCTTCATTTTACATCAATATTAGCGATTTGAAATATTTGGACAGTCAATAATTGTAACATGCAATAGAAATTATACTCTTTACTTTTTAATAGAAGCATTATGGATACGGCGTCAAAGAAAAAGTCGACAAATATATTGAAAAAATACTTGCGCCATTAAAGAAAAATGATAAAGACTCAAAACAAAAACAGCAATATCATGATAATCCGCCTTTAACAACAGCTGCAGTCGTCGATAAATCTAACTCACATGAATCTGCTAAAATCTCAGCGCTTACACATTCGCTAGCATCGAGCTCGTTATCAACAAAAGCCAAACATGTGAACTCAAAACGAAATCTGGAAAGTATTACATTGATTTGGCACGATTCAAATATTGATCAAACTAACGATACGAAAAAGACAATGAATGAATTGCGAGAAATAAATAATGGTGTAGTGTTTCATACTGATCAAGAAGTTTGTATTGATGATATTAAATCATTTGCAACTGAAAAAATATTTCTTGTTACAACTGAAAGAGATGCTACAAGGATTTTAGAAGAAATTCATGCATTAACACAAGTTGATTCGATATTTATTTTCTGTTTTAAACCTAAAAAATATCAAAATCTTTTACAAAAAGTTTCTAAACTGATTGGAATCTATAGAGAACGACAAGATTTACTAAATGCTTTGAAAGAAAATATTATTCTCGTTGAAAAACATTTAGAAGAATTTAGTTTCTATAGTCAACATAAACAAAAAACTACAAGAGATCTATCGAAAGAGTCTGCTGAATTTCTATGGTTTCAAATGTTTAAAGATGTCATTTTGAGATTGCCAAGAGATAGTCATGCGAAGCAACAAATGATTGAATTGTGTCGCCATTATTATCATGGAAATGAAAAAGAATTAAAATTTATTCGTGAGTTTGAACATGACTATAAATCAAGTATGGCTATTAGATGTATACAAAAGAGACATTTCTCTATAAAACTATCAACAAAGCATTAAGAACTGAAGACATTGAACAATTACATACATTTTGATTTTTTATTGCTGATCTATCATTGAATCTTGCTGCTGAATATGAAAAATTTTTAAGAAAAGGTGAAAAATCATCATGTTGTATCGTGGACCACAAATCGAAAGAGAAGAACTTAAAACTTTAAAACAAAATGAAGGTAGTCTAATTTCAACAAATGGTTTTCTATGAACAAGTCGTTCAAAAAAGCAAGCACTTAAGTTCGCTACAAAATCGACCAAACGTAGAGATGTTGTTGCCGTTCTGCACGAAATTGAATGTAATATAGAACAAACAGACTCAATCATTTTTGCTGATATTGCAAAATTTAGTGAGTATCCAGATGAAGAAGTTTTATTCGATTTTGGGACAACATTCGAAATAGTTTCTGTCAAGGAAGATGAAAAATTCAATCCATGCTTAATTAAACTAAGAGCTAGTAATAAAGGATCTAAAGTAGCTAAAGAACATAATGAATTAAATAGAAAAGATGAAGAAGAAACTAGAGTTGAACTCATATTTGGCAAATTATTAATTGATATGGGACAATATGATCAATCATTAAAATACTTTCAACGTTTGTTGTTACATAATCATACACAAAAGGATGATATCGCAAAAATTAATAATTTAGTTGAATCGACGTATTACAATAAAGATGATCTTAAAAAGGAACTCGAATATTATAAACTGGCTTATAATTTAATGATGAATGATGAACCAATACGAATAAAAGATTCAGTGAGACTATTAACAAATAAAGGTCTCACTTATCATCGAAAAGGTCAATACGATCGTACACTTGAATTATATTCGAAATCTATAGAAATATTTGAAACATACTATGGAAAGAACATATAAAAACAACAAAAACACTTACGAATATTGGTAATATATATACAGAAACTCGAAAATACAAGCGTGCATTACAATATTATGAAAAGGTGCTAAAAATTCAACAAAAATGCTTACCATCCGATCATATTGAGACTGCTATGACATTGAACAATATTGCAGTCGTATATCAAAAATTGAATTATCTTGATTATGCATTTGAATATTATCAACAGGCATTAAATATGAAAGAAAAAATATTTCCACCACATCACATCGATATTGCTGTTGAAAGAAATAATGTTGCAAAGATAAATGAAATAAAACAACATCTTCAACATGCAAACAATGCCGTACCCATACCAAAAGCCAGAGCTCGAANATAAATACAAATTTCTCGCAATAGTGGACTTGAATTGGCTATATTGTAAAAATTAGTAGATAGTCTTTTGAGAGACAGAGTCGAGCATGCGAGCGGCTAGCTGTTCTGAGGCACCACTCACAACTAGCCGCTCATTTGAAAAGTTGGTCGAAAGGAAGTTTTGAGGCTACTGGAAGAAATAGAAAAAGTTTCTATCGAAGCAGTCGCATCAGTTGAAAGAGTGTCCGAGAACGATGGAAAGCTGAAAAATGATTTCCTTCAATCAAGTCTGGTAAATAAGTTTTGTGCAGACGTACAACATCTCGAAGGCATTTTTGGTGGAAAGTAAGAATAAGTATATTTGTGTTAAACTAGGGTTCGTGTGGATAAAAAGACATATTTTCAGTGGTTAAACGTAAACAATGATCATTGAGAAAATCGGATTTAGGATAACTTGGAAACAGAGATAATATGTACCTTTTTGCACACATTATGAAGACAGAAACTATATAAAATAAGAGTTAATAACCGCTTGAAGTTTCTTTACTTTCTTCAAATATAAATATTGAACTTTTTCTCTATGGTTAAGATCTGTGTCAAAGCTTCAATGCTATAGAAAGCAATACTGTAAGCTACGCAAACATTGATCTTTTACGAAGAAATCGGTATCTTCAGTGATGCTCGTTTACTAGTGAGATGTTTTGTGAGACTCCAATGAAACGAAGTACCTGAGTAGCTAGCTCGTAACTTGTTACTTAGTCTGCTTGCTTATTATCTTGTCTGATCAATGTTGAACACCATCGACACTCTCTTGAATCATGCTTAAAGACTCATCGATTGATATTGATATAGTCTATATGGATTGAAAAAAAACAAATCTTCATCTTTCTTGAACAAAAATGAGCAAAAGAGAACATTTTTCAAAGAAGTAAATCGGTAAAATACCAGTCTCTACAGGCCTGTAGATTTTTCCATACGGACTTCTTTGATCCTAAGGTTTAGGAATAATTTGTGGAAAATGCAGGATCGTGGACAGCCGCTGATGACGTTTCAGTTAAGAAGGAATTTCAGCATAATAAAGATTTTGCAGGAAACTCTATTCAATTCTACTTGAACGGCAAAGTCACATTCAGGATAGAACTATGGGATCTGGAAATAGAGATGGTTCTAGATAAAAGTGAAAATTTCGAAAGAAGAACGCAAAACGTCGGACTACATCCTGGGGAGATTGAAGCAAGAGTGTAAGTCAACCATGATGATCAGATGCGAGCTGTTTGTCGAAGTACATTTAAAAAAGACTCAACAGAAAATAGAAACATTCGATCTTTTTACAAAATGGTCGTGACTGACAATATTATAGACGGATTTTTGTATGTGCGCGTGTTGAACAATAATTCTCAAAACAGAATTCATGAAGTGATAAGAGATGATTAATAGATCTAATTCAGTCGAGGGTCAAGCGAGTCGAAGCGACGAGTGTTACTTGTATATATGATTCTCTATAAATGAATATTCTTTTGTATGTATAAAAGTATCTTGATAACTGTTACAGAATGGATTCATATTTTGATAAACATTCGTTTAAAATTCCTAATGTGATGATATTTAATAAACGAAGATCATTCAAAGAATCGAGTCCATGTGGTATTTGTTCATAAGTAATTCAAGTTAAGGAGACTTCTCTGTGAAAATATAAAAGGAAAATATTCATATTAACGCTTTTCTCGTGTGGATTAGTGTAGTTCTTCTCCTCATTCAAACTCTAGATACAGGTGTACTGTAAGCACCAAAAAACCGCGGGAGGTTGCTTAGACTGGCACTAAAACAAATAACAATAATGTAATCATTTTCTAGTTTTAAATAATTTGTATTTTCTTCTGACAGATGATGCGTTGTTGGTAGAGATAAACCCACTAACTATAATTCATCTAAATACCATTCGAAGGCTACCCAAGAGTTAGAGCATGTTACTGTCGATAACATCTACATTGTCTAACTTGAATAATGTTGAATGAACTTGTGGCAAAGTAAACATTTTTGTGAGTGATCAACAGATGGTAATATATGTGCACTTGTTTTTTTCATTTTCTTACTTGAATTTCTCAAGATATAGATGAATATTATCATAAAAATATATGTATGATCATGATGTATACCTAATTTATTAATATTAATTAGAATGTTAATATGTTCAGATTCAATCGGCTGTAAATTATCTGGATTAAATAATTTGTCTATTTTATAAGAAAATCGTTTTTTGTAAAAATAAGTTTACTGAATTTCAATGTTCCATAATAATTCCAATTTTAACCTTTAATGAAAAAAACAACAATATCTTTCTTCTTATTATTGTTTGAAATTAATAATGGACTTAGATTAATTTTACCTAATAACTGTGTGATAAGCCAAGTAATTTAACTATTCATAATACGACCAGTTTCGAGATTTAAAAGTACTCGATCTGAGCAGTGGCATAACCAGAAAAAAGTTGTAGAGGGAGGAAAGGGTGGAAGCTCAGCCGTTCTAATCATACGTCTAGGAGAGACTCAATGCTATTTTAAGCAGAGCTCAACCGTTTGTAGGGAGATCTTAGAGCCGTCTAGAGGGGACTGAGTCTCTTCTAGCCTCCATCTGGATACACCACTAGATCTAAGGTGCAGCACTATTTTATGATCATTTCAAGACCAAAATCTCAATTATAGAAGTGATTTCTTAAAAAGTTGTAAGTTTAGGTCTATAAAAAGATGGACGCACAGTTTACTTGATCTTCTCCACTTAAAATCATTTATTCTCTATTTATGAAAAAGATAAGAACATCAATCTTTTTCATATAAGTCTCAAGATCATTTGTCCAAATTAGAAATGATAAGAACTACATTTCATGACTATACTCAATGCTTGGTTCAACAATTTTTAAATGATCCGACTTCATCATATATAGTCTCTACTGATAATTTCTCAGTACATGTCGAATGTTCAGCTAATTTATTCTATGTTATTCTAAATACGATATAATGAATTATAGATAACACACACTATATGATAAACATTTTGACAAAAGAACGGTGACCTCGTGAACTCACAAATAATAAATGATAAAACATATTAGGCAGGAAGAAAAATATATATCATCCATTCATTATTATCTAATATCATAACATCAACATTTATCGCTCATTGTTCTCACCGACGGCAATGAGCAAGTGAATATATATATATATATAATATATAGATTGCAACGAAGATACAGTATTAGTTCAACATGGATAATTCAGATAACTGCAATATGATCAACATACTCAATTTACCTGACGAAATGTTACTTGCTATTTTCAACAAGTTGAAAATGGTCAATGTACTCTATTCATTAGTAAATATTAATGAACGATTTAATCGATTAACACTTGATCCTTTTTACATTCATAATCTTGATTTGACTATGAAAACATCATGCTTTGATTATATATCTTCACAAGATGATCAAGTTGATCGAATTTGTAAAACAATCTTACCTCGAATCCATCATCATGTAAATAAACTGACTGTTGAACCCGATTCAATAAAAGATATTCTTCGTGCTGTCGATTATCCTCGACTTCATTCATTATCACTTGTTAACTTTCAAGAAGAAACATTGTTACGGTATTTAAGAGGTAGTTTTCACTTTTGTTTGCTTTATTCATTAAACACATTAAAGTTACTATAAATCTATGATGAACGTCTTTTTTTTTCTACATTGTAGGTGATACAATTCTTCGTCATTTTCTAGCTGATCAAATAACGCATCTTAATGTCAATATCTATTATGAAATAATACCAAATTTATTCCGTTACAACACATCAAATATATTTTCATTTCTGTTATCATTCTGTAAACATTTAGTCGAGTTGACATTTAATCAATATTTATGTGATAAAACTTTAGAGTTTTCACTTTATAATGTACCATTAACAAATTGTGTATCGTCTACTTTAACTAAATTAGAAATCATTGTAAGAAATTTTGATGATTGTCTGTATCTTCTTGATGGACGTCTGAAATGTTTATCGATATTGATTATCAATGCTTTAAATTTTCTGACTTTATTACCAAATATAGATAATACGGTAAGGATATGTTACATCATTGTGTGAGGGAGAAAATCCTACATTAAATAGATTAATATTTTTTTATTTTATATATTTATAGAAAAAACTTCCCAAACTAAAATACTTCTCGCTAACTTCTACTTGTCTCACAGATCTCTATGATGATAAAATAATTCCATTGCTTCATCGAATGTTAAATCTCGAAGAATTGACATTATTTCTCAATGTAATGAGATGGAATTCTACTTATATCGATGGTACACATTTATATAATGATATTTTCGTTCATATGCCACGACTTAATAAATTTAATTTCAGTATATATACTATGCTTATGAATGATGATATTAGAATCGATCTTCCATCGAATGAAGATATTCAACGTATTTTTATCGAAAATGGAAATCGACATGTTGGTTCTTTTGTTGATACTCTGCCACAGAACGGGGGTGGATATTGTCATATCTTTTCACTTCCATATCAATTCAACATTTTTCTCAATTTGAACAATTCTTTTCAAGGTGGTATATTCAATAAAGTTAGATCATTGACAATGTCTGATACAGATCCATTTGAACATGAATTCTTTGAAAAAGTCTATCAAGCTTTTCCTTTTCTCCGAGATTTATCTCTTCAGAATTCAAAACCACAAAAAAATAAACAACATTCATCTACGTTCATTACATTCGCTCATCTTAACGAACTGGATATTAGAGATGCTCATGTTGATTATGCTGAACAATTTCTGTTCGATAAAAACACTCGTCTACCCAATTTGCTCAGTCTTAATATCGAATATAAAACATTAGTCATTATAACAAACAATTTTACTAATGATTCAGCACGTCTCAATTGTTCTCGAATAAAACATCTTTTCAAAAATGAATTATTTGCTCGTCCTAAAAATTTTCATGAATATTTTCGTTTGTTGTAAATATAGTTCTTCGTAATAATCCAGTAAAAAATGTTGTAAAAAAAGANTGTTCTATAGCTGATGAGCTACGCTTTTTCGGCTATTTCCAGGTGTGTGCTATTTGTTTTTGGAAAAATAAAATCACGGTTCGATTCAGCGTATTTTTCTCTATCGATTAGGTTACTTTAAAAGTTCGGCCCATTCCATCTATTTTAGAGGGCGCCATAGGTAGTGCATTTGATATTGATTTGCTTAAAATGTGCTCTTTTTCTGCTCTGTCCGTTGACTAATAGTTTTTGTTGTATTATCAAAAAAGGCTTTCGACTGTATATCTATTGGATAATTAACTTTGGCCAATAGAAAATGCAGAATGGCCACTGTGTGTCATTTATTTTTCTTTATTCTAAAAAAAATAATCTAAATCGAATAATAATACTTTGGCGAAGACCAAAATGATTCTAATATGCTGACGAACTATTATAAGATTGAATATTAAACGACATCTTTATATCACCAATCGATGCATTATAGATTCATTTTTTATGTTTTACTCTTAGCAAATTATATTAAAGCCTTATTTGTTTCCATTAGAAAATTTCATCGTGAATTAAGATGCGTAATTAGCTGAAAAGTTAATTCCGAAATTAATGCACTTTGGAGAGGCAGACTAAATCTCATGCATCAACCAATCAAAAAACAACTTCGTCCACTAATTAAAATAATGAATGTGCCTCGATGAAGTTACATTATAAACATTTCTAGCGACATAACCTTGGTATAATACTACATTACAAAGTACATGAAAATAAATATTGACAGATTGAAATGACGAAAATTATTTTTTTAACGAAATTTATGACCATAATAATAAATGATTTGATAATAAATCTTTAAAATTGATTGATATATAATTAAGGCGACAATTCGTTTGACCAAATGTGCTAAAATTATGCACTTGGAATATATTTTTAAGGGTCAGTTTTGAGTTCTACTTGAGGGATTAATGTTACAGATGAGATAAAGATGTATGCCGATTTTATTCGAGGTTAAGATCACAAAGTTTTACCCATTTCAATTGTTTCGTATTATTTTTTTTATTTAAACTTAGACTCATAAAATACAATAGACAAGTAGATAAAGATAAAATATCTATAGATATAATTTATTCATTGCTTAGATTCAGAATTCATAAATTGGAATTATATTGTTATCTTTTTTTTTCTTCATTTAAATTTATAGATTAGTAATATAAGAATATTTATTTATTATTCTTAAATATATCATTACACATTTTCATGTAAGGATGAGATGAAATGTATTATTATTATTCGTTTTTTTCTTGTTCAGTGATTGAATATAATAGTATTTATTTATTTATTTATTTTTTGTTTCTAGTCGAATTCTTTTATGAAATACGAAGGTCAATGCGTATGAATAAACGTGAAATTAAGCAAACAATTGTTTCAACTAGACAATAGTATGCATATGCAATCATGCGAGAAGTTATTCCCAATGGTTTACAATAAGAAATGACGAGTATATGGATCCGTGTTTACAATTATCATGATCAAAGATATGATCAATCATAAAGTGAATCGACTTGCTAAATTATGAAAAAATCGTTCATATTAGTCATAAGGGTATGTACCTAGTCTATGACTTGAAGACCTTGACAATAAAATATCCATTTATTATTCGCTATTTTCAAATACGTGTTCAGAGTTAATAGTACCTATTGACATATAATTGCTCTTATGGTTAGTTAGTACGAATAGGAAGTTTGAGCAAATTGAAGACAAGAGTCCCTGTTAGACCAACCGTCTGTCCATAGCTACAGCTAGTTGTATTTGTAGAAAAGATATCGATATATTGAACCAGTGTTTGTACATAATATTATTTAGGCCAGCTTTGTAGAGTAAACTTTGCTATATAAAGCGTGTGATTTATTTTTGTATGGTAGATTTCAAAACTTTTGTATTTTTCAAAGCATTTTTTTTAATACCATTATCGATTTACATAGAAATTATGTCTTTAGTGGAGATGCATAGGTTTTGTTTTATTGTCATATCTTGTTTTGTATAGAATTCAATGCTCTACCATAATGTTGAGTTGAAGTTGTTTCAAGAGGTACTAAAACAGAACGAAAAAAAAATTCAGATTCGAACCAATTGTATTGTAGTGACCGGAAAATGAGTGAATATTTTATGTCAAGACTTTCATGCTATAGGTTATATAGATTTTTATTTCAATTATAATAATGTTACGTTCGTTTGAAACTTTCTAGGAACATTGTTGAGGAAAAAAATTTTGAAATTGAAATATTATTTCTATTGTGCAAATATATAAGATTAAATTTGATTGATGTATTGAGTGTTTTAGTGAAATTTGATTACAAATGTTATGTAACTATTCATTTTGATATAACTGGAGTCAAATAGAAGTATTCAAAGATTGATTTATGTCGTAAAAATATAGATTATTTTGATTATTTTCAGAATCTATCGACTGGTAAACAACAAGATTTGACTGGTAAATACTATACAAAAAGGAAAAAGAATTATTTGAATCTATATTTATTTCGTTTAGAAACTCTTTATGATCTCCATAAAATGTTAAATTAAGGAAGAATATATCTGTAAAAAACTAATCTTAATAATTCTTCTAATAAATCATAAATCTAATCTTAAATTTGTTGAATAAGTTATAAAAATTACATATGTACAGTAAAAGTTCACATAGTGGACATTTCGCGATTCGATGAAGTGTTTTTCAATAATAGCTGCATTCGTTGACATCAACTAATAGAGTGCTAATGAACAGATAATCAGGATTAGTTGATGTTGATGACACAAAGATGACAATATCTTTCTGAAAGAAATTTTGCATATGTTGCGTGGATTATTGAAAACAACGAGAATCTTTTTTTTTTTTTTTGGTGCATAGTTTCTTAATTTGAGACCAAAAATTTAGGTAACTAATATAGAGTTAGTCTCATTTTCAAAACATAATACAGATATGATTGCTATGATTTTTGTCGTTCTTAAATGAGACCGTTTCTATATTGATTAGCTTAATTTTTGATATAGTTTTCGGCAAGCAAACTTTTTTTTTGCGAAAATTCAATAGTCTAAACTACACATTCTTATCTCTGATCTCTAATAACGATTAACTAACGTTGTCAAAACAGGATTGTGTCAAAGATTATTTTCACTGATAAAAAACATCTGACGAGAATTGATAGTGTTCTGACTGGTTATCTGATTCATTGTTTGTTCTACAGATATCAAGAAGAACGTGTCTATTTTTCTTTTTCGGACAAGCCATAATTTTTGGAAACATTTAATCTTTTTATCGTGGATATGTCTACTATACGGAGGTTCTAGTGTACTATTGTTCTACTGACTAACATTTGCTAAAGCCAACCGAGGTCAACATGACCTATGTGATGTATTAAAAGAAATATTTTGTTGATTTTAAGCCCTTTACTTAAAGCTGAAAAAAAAAAGGAGTCTGCTCTTGTAATTTTATTGATAGATCGTTCCAATCCTGATGGGTGGTTGGCTCAGTTTCCTTTCATCACCTGACATATGATGATCAAATACTTGAGAATAATCATTTTTATTTACATTCTACTTGGTTTGTTTTTTAAATAATTTTTAGCAAGTCAATAAGACTTAATGACTCTCTTGTGAGAAATATCAGTTACTAATTCGCACTTTTGAAGTTTGTTCTTTCTCTATGAATGTGTGAAAGTGCAAAACTTTGAAAAAAGATTAATTTAAAAGTGCAAAATCGATTTTCACAAATAACGATTCCAACAGACATGTGTTTTTTCATCACATATTCTGATTTCACACGTTGTACATTTAACATAATCAAAAACGAAAATAAATCATCGTCAATAAGAATTTGTTTTTTTTTTTCGTAGTTGAACTTAACTTTAAAATTCAAAAACTTTAATTTCTATTTTCTTTTTCTGTTCTTAGGAAGTTGGTCAAACTTGTTATAAAGATATTCATGTAAGCTAATAGAAAATTATAAATTTTCGAATAAAATAAAAAAAACGGAAATATGTGATCAATTACGACAACGAATAAAAATAGTTATTTTTTTTCTTGATTTTCGTTTATATATTTCCTTTTTTAAAAATCTCATTTTTATGAAATTTAAAAAAAATACAAAATAGAAGATGATAATATTGTGATATATGTGTTTATTAGTAATGTATGTTGAAATCAACAAACGAAGAAAAAAAAGAAATAGTAACGTGTGATTCTCTTAAGATATACGCCACTAAAATCTTCTTAGTGCATTTTTTTTTCTTTTTCTTTCTTTTGCTAAACACAACACACATACTCTTACGCTCCATCACCATGATTTGCACGACCGTCATCTTCGTCTCTTACTTACAGTAGTACATTCGATATTCATGGTATGTGTACTTTGTATTGAAAAAAGGCTGTTCTTCTTATCGGTCGTTTATTCTTTTACATTCTATTCTTTCACCTATTTTATTTACATATGTTGAAATATTAATCATTTTTGTGCTCTGACAATATATAAAGAAAAATCGATTGAAAATTATAGTTGACCTTTTTTTATGTTGAATTATCTATATTATTTGTATCTATAGATTGTATCATAGCATTAGCTTAATTTCCTTTCTGCTTTTGTTGTTAAAATTATACTTTGACGTAAGTATACGAAGGAGAACACGTATGGCCAAAGAACATTAAGCAAAAAATAGATTTTGAGATGAACAACATATGCCCCATATAAGCATAGAACATCGAAGAAAAACATTTGTTATCGCAAAGGCGAGGGCGAACATGCAAGCATGCGCTCTGTATTCCCGAGCAGCGAACGACGAGTGTAATAGAAGTAAGAGGGAAAAAAAAGAAGAAAAAAGCAATAGCAGTAGTAACGGGATGCAAATAAACGAACGTTGACATTATATATTTGTACTGCACGAGAAAATCGAACAACGAGTTTTAAATTGCGCTATTCATTTGTCGATTTCTAAAAACAAAAGAAAAAACAAACAAATTCTTTTTTTAAGATCTCAAAATGAGTGCTATACCACATCATCAAACAACAATCGCCAATCCCGAAGCAGTAACATCAGCAATAAATGCTGCATTTGCTGAATTTATTGCTGACGAACCTACTACAACTGCTCTTCTTTTACATCATCAACAAAATATTGATTCAACAATATTAACTAATGAAGTAACACATAATGATAATGATTTATCAAGAAACAGTCGACCACCAACACCATATGCAGTTTCAACGCATACATATAATGGTATGATACTTTTGAAGAAAGAATAAATATTCAATAAATACATTAACATTTAGATTCATCATCTTCAACGTCAACTACAAATACAACAAATTTACCACGTTATAAAACTCTTCTTGATAAATATACACCAAATAATAATCAACAAAGTTTAACTACATCAAATAGTAATAATCTTATAGAAAATTGTTGTAATACTTCAACATCTTCAATTAATCAAAGAAAACGACCTATATCAAATGAATACAATTCATCAAAACGATTTCATCCATCACAATCATCAACAGGTATAAATATTATTCAAAAAAAAAACCTATTTCACGAAATAGTTTCAACTGTAATATAGAAAAGTCAAAAAAAAATACATAAAAAAAAAATGATGTGTCTAATAAATGCTAACTTGAGACGTGTATAATTTATCATGAGTTTTCTCATTATTCTATTGATTTGTATATGTAACCAATAATAATTGTGATGATTCATACCTGATAGAGATTAACTAAAATAGTCAGAAAAAAAAATATCTATTATCATGGTCACAGCTGTTTCATCTTTACCAGATGTATGTCAGTCATCATCATTAGTTATTTCATAAAAAAAACAACATCATTACTCTTATCAAATAATTAAATTGAATATTTAATTAGAGTTCATAGAAATTTGAATAATCAATCGATTAAAATAATTGACAATCATGGTCACTGTGTATCTATTAAACTTGTGTATGATCTCTATTAGAATGTTAGTACTATCCCCTGTATCTTACTATTCCGAATTTTCTAAAGCATTTTCCAATTGTTGTTTTTTTTTCCTTCTTTTAAAGCATCTTCTCATCAATTACAAGTTCAACAATGTTCATCATCAGTATCGAATGGTGAAAATGATTCAATAAATAATTCTAATACATTAATACATTCTACAACATCAATTTACAATGAAACAAATCGAATTCGTTCTGAAATTCTTGATTCAAGTGATGATGAAGATTCTTCGAATAATCTATTTGCTCCAAATAGATCATTACATTCTTCATGTTTATGTTCACGTCATCCATCTCAAATAATCTCATCACCCTCATCATCATCATCATCATCAGTTATTCAAACGAATCATCGCTCTATTCCTCATTCTCAATTAACATTACCAATACAACAACATAATCATAATCCGTCTCATTTACGTCATCATTATCGCCAACAACTAACATCAGAAATACGTCGTCAACGTCTTAGTGCATTTCAAAATCAAACAACACCATCACCATCATCACCATCATCATCATCATCATCATCATCATCATCATCATCAACAATGATTACAGCTGATCAACATTTACATGCTATTTTAACAAACCCAGCAATAATAACAACAACAAATAATAATATTCGTAATAATCATTTAATTATTCAACAAAATTCGCCATATAATTCAAATTCAAATATGAATATAACAACAAGAAATGAAAATAATTCATGGCCATCAACATCATTTTTATTTCGTTCATTTCATAATTTAATTTTTTTACGCAATAATGAACATGTTTTTGAAGAATTATTACGTATGGAAGAACAATTAAATGGTTTAAATAATTCGACAAATATAGGTGCAAGTCAAGAACATATTAATTGTCGTACATTATCATATAAATATATAAAAGAAAAAATTTCTGTTGAAGAAAAATGTACAATATGTTTATGTGAATATGATCAATATGATAATGTACGCCGTTTACCATGTATGCATTTATTTCATGTTGAATGTGTTGATAAATGGCTAATACAAAGTAAACGATGTCCTATATGTCGAATTGATATTGATTTCCAAGGAGATTTTGGTGATTATATTTGTTAGAGTAAGAAAATAATACTATTGTTTTATTTATGTATAAACATATTGTGATTGTATTTTTATCATTTGAAGAAAAAAAAAAAAAAGAAAAAAGAATAGATTTTGTGTATTTTAATTTTCAATACATATATATATATATATACATTATTAATATAAACGTGTCATTTTTGTTTTGTTTTTCGGTTTACGTTTTCAAACTTAGTTTTTTTTTTCTTTTTTAACAATAAAGAATGGATTTTTTTTGTCTTTTTAATCACGCATTTAGATGAATTTTTTTTTGCATTCAATTATCAAGTAAAAATATATAAAAGTACACTAGCATGTCATTTGTATTCCATTAATTCAATTTGCGTGACTCTGTAACAACGTAGAGGAAAAAATGAGAAAGTATGAGATTTTTCTCTTTCCTTTTATTTCGTTCGGTTCTCCATTCAATGCATTATTTATAGTAAAAAAGATGCCCGTACACTCTCTCTTTCTCTTACTCGACTCTTATTCATATGCATTTTACGATGACTACGTGCGTAGGTTTATACATGTTCTTCCTGCTAAAAAAAATCCATATAAACCATGACAACAACACACCTATAGTTCGAAATAATATGTGAATCTAAATGACACAATATCCTATGACGAATAACAATAAGATGATACTTTGTATTTTGTTTTTCAGATGTTTAATCGAATTTGGACTTTTTTAATATTTTTATTTGATTATTTATCAACGATTGTTAAAACTTTACCACGTGATATTCGTGGTCTTTATAAACTTCTTCGACATTCTTTAATAATTAAATATCATGTATATCGAAAACGAGATTTTATAGCTATATTTCGTGATAATGTGAAATATTATAAATCAAAACCATGTTTTATTTCTGAAGATGCGTCCCTATCATTTCAAGAAGTTTGTTTATCTGACAAAAAAAATCTAACAGACAATCAAATATTTTAATCAAACTTTATCTTTTTTTGTTTAGGTTGAAGATTTAACAAATCAATTAGCAAATTACTTCTTAGCTGAAGGTTATTCTCATGGAGATACTATTGCACTTATATTAGATAATTCTATTGAATATCCATGTGTATGGATTGGATTAAGTAAAATTGGTTGTATAACAGCATTAATCAATTCAAATCTACGTGCTACACCACTTCTACATTCCATTCGAACTGTTAATGCTAAAGGTATTATCACTTCAAAACATCTTCTTCCAGGTAAATTTTAAAAAAAAACTTTTTTTTTAAATATTGCCTTTTATATTGATTTTTTATTTAATAGAAATTGAATCTGAACTAAAGGAATTAAATATAAATAAAGTTTATTTATTTGATGCAAAATATCAATCAACAACAAATATTAGTAATGGTTGTACATCAATATCATCATTTGAAACAATTCAATTATATGAAAAACTTGAAGAATGTTCATCTCGGCCTATAAAACCTATTCCATATAATTTAAACCGTACAACAAATAATTAAAAGAAAAAGACAATTAATTATTTGTCATTTTTGTTTTGTTTTGATTAGATCCTGTCTTCTATATTTTTACTTCTGGAACAACAGGATTACCAAAAGCAGCTGTAATCAAACATTCAAGGTTAGTTGAAAAGACATCTATTCATTCTTTTATGACCAAGTAATAAATAGCTTTAGTCATAAAAGGTAGAGAAAAAAAGTCGAAATGGCAGAAAAGTGCTAGAAATGTTTTATCCTCTTAATTACTCTCCTCAAAAAATGATAATAAGAAAATAAGCTTCTTTCATAATGACACAAATATACAATACAATAATAGATAGCGAACACAACTATTCACACACACACACACACAAATATTTTTAATATCGTTCTCAATCGATTATACTCTGTCGCTCAGATTACCTTGAAGTAATCATCCAAATTCTTGCTAATTCTCAAAGTACTACATAAAAACCTAGGTAGAGTTATGTGTATTGATTATTTTAAGAAATTATTGCAAAAATTGAGGCCACATGTGTATGTTTGTATGAAGTTTAAATACTGAAAGAACAGCCATAAATAATATACGGAATAAACTTTTAGTAAAACTTAGAGATTCTTCATGTTCATGTTGACTATTTCATACAAACTGAAATTTACGAGAGAATATAAAGCGTTGCTTTCTTTTATAATATGTATGGCCCTATTCATATCTAAACTCAGTAAAAATAATATTATGCTTCCGTCGTTTTAGTAATGTGTTAGTTCCGCATTAGAAAATTCATGAAAAATGCCTACTAGAAAAGAATATTTCTATTGAAAGATGTACTTCTTTTTTTTAGACATGTCGTGAAATCATTTCAATCTTCTTTTGTAGCATATTTCTGAAGACATTTTTAGTCTTCCTGTACTTAAAAAAAGATATTCCTGTCATCACAGGACGTAATTAACGAAATGCGCATTTTCACAAGTGATATATGAAGAGATCTCGCTAAAATAGGAGCCTATTCAACAAAATCTCGTTGTGTATTAATTAAAAAGATTCTTCATCTTTGCAATCTCTTCTAGAAACTCAGACACGTTTTTCATGATAAAAGAGCTCATCCGTAATTGAAGGAAACCTACCCTTGAACACGTACATGTCAATTTATGTTCTATGGAGTACGTCTTTGAAGTCGAAGAATGCATTTCTATTTTGAAAAAAACGAGGCAAATATGTTTTTTGAAATAGATAAAAAGAAAAACAACTACAAGAAACACGGCACGTGCATTCAACTGCTGTTGTTGTATAAACTGTTTCTTTACAGACCATCGCATTCATTATTCTATATTTTGAATATGAGTAGATTTTGATGTGGTATAAAAAATCTGAAAAGGATTCTGTTGTTTCTTTAAAAACCTGAAATAACATAGTGTTTGACGTGATATTTTGTTCATAGATATGTCTCTGAAGCATTCGAATGTTCTAACAGTTCCAGTTCAAATTAGTGCTTTTGTCATGATATAACGAAGCTTTAAAAAGACAATACAATCTAAATAAGAATTCGGAAAGTCTGAATTATCTTGAAAACATTCTTATGACTGAAAATCTTATATACAGGGTTGTTCAAAAGTTACTTGGCGATCTTTGTTAGCGAATAACTTTTCATAGGAACAAGATAAAGAATTTTGACTTTGACTGTTCGAGAAAAGCTGTGTCACTGCATGGTTTCATGCATGACTCAACAATGTCGATTTATGAGCAAAATGTCAATCAGTGGGCTTCAGAAAAAAGTACTGATTGATCTATCAAGATGTGACATAGATTTAATTCTAAGAAATGTGGTAAATTTGCATGCTAACGATCTCAATCAAATCGTAAAACTTTTATTGTGACGGATTTAAGAGTTATATAGATACAACATTGGATAGTGTGTGCAGATCCTAAGCACGAGAGTCTAGTACACTTCTTAGAATTAAATTTCTATATCATCTTCATAAACCTATTCGTATTTTTTGCTGAAGCCCATCATTGACTATCATTCAGTCAGTAACTGACATTGTTCAATTACACATAGAGCCATGGAATAATACGGCCTTTTTTGAAAGATCAAAGTCACTAGTCTTCATCTCATTCCTATCAAAATTTATTCTCAAATAAAGACTGCCAAGTGACTTTTCTACTACTCTGTATACAGCTAATCAAAGTATCAAAACAAAATTGCGTTACTCACGAAAGATGGTTTCAGAGGACGAATTGTTTTTCATATTTCATTGAATCTATTGAATATCAATGATATGTATAAATTTGCATACAACTAAAATAAGATCATTATCTTAATCCTTGTTTATTCATTATTCATTTTTATTTACAGATTTTTTCTTGGTTCATTCGGTTTCCTTGTGGCAACTGGTGTTACCGATAAAGATATTATGTATGATACTCTTCCACTTTATCATTCATTAGGTATATTCTATTTGGAAAATGATTTCTTTATAAAATCTCTGTTATTTGTTTTTTCTTTAGGTGGCTGGGTTTGTATTACTTACAGGTATATATTTAAATAAATAATTACCTAGAAAAAAAAAATTTCTAATTTATGTATTTTAATTTTAATTTTGTTTTAGTCTCATAGGAGGTTGTACAACAGTATTACGTAAAAAATTCTCAGCGTCAAATTTTTGGAAAGACTGTGTCAGATATAAATGCACAGTAAATAAAAATTACACAAAAAAAAAATAAATTTGATTTTTATTTTTTAATAAGGGTTTTACATATGTTGGTGAATTATGTCGATTTTTACTTGCTCAACCACCAAGTGAATATGATAGACGACATTCAATACGTTTATGTTGTGGTAATGGACTTCGACAAAATTTATGGATACCATTTGTTGAACGATTTAATATACGACAAGTTTATGAATTCTATGGAGCTACTGAAAGCAATGCTTATTTCTGTAATACAAAAAAAAAAAAAAAAATTCTTTTTGTTTTGTTTTATTTTTGTTATTTTTTATATTTTAGTTAATATTGATTCTTGTCCAGGTGCTTGTGGATTTTATTCATTAATTGCTCCTCGTGCACTTGGAAGTGTACTTGTACGATTTGATCCTGTAACATTAGAACCAATACGTGATGAAGAAACCAAATTATGTGTACGATGTAAAGCAGGTGAACATGGATTATTATTAGGAATGATTCAAAATAATATATTACATGCATTTGATGGTTATGTTAATAATCCAACAGGAACCAAACGAAAAATTATTGAAGATATTTATAAAAAAGGTGATCGTGCTTTTAATACAGGTAAAATTATTAATATCAATTGAGAGTATTTTAAAATTACTTAGTTTTTTTGTTTCTTTCTTTTTTTTTTGTTAAATAGGCGATGTTATGGTAGCAGATAAATATGGTTATTTATATTTTTGTGATCGTACAGGTGATACATTTCGTTGGAAAGGTGAAAATGTATCAACAGTTGAAGTTGAAAATATTATTATGAATATTCTTAAACGAAATGATGTTGTTGTTTTTGGAGTTGCAATACCAGGTATGAG